TTGTTTTGTTTTTATGACCGAAATTGCGGAAAACAACTCGTGAAGTTTGACCAGCTAGAAGAGCGAGGTGCGCGAGAACGCTGGGACCCTTTCTCCACCTGGATCTCCGCTTTTTTTGGCCCTCATGTCCCTCCATCGTCGGACTAAACTCGCTCTCACTTCCTCACCGCCTCGGCCGTATCTAGACCCACAGTGTGTAGAACAGACCACGCTTCAATATTGGGCATAAATTAAAAATGTCTGTGTCAAGCTCACTGCAACACACTGCTGTAAGAGTAACCAGGAAGCGAGGTTGGAGTGCAAAATAGGTTTAGCGCCACCACAGCACGGGAGGAGAATTACGTTCAGGAGCAAATGGATAAAAATAGACCAGAGGGAAAAAAAAAAAACATGAATCGATTGTCTTGCGGACGTATTAATGCATCGGATCGTCGGCTGTTGGATCGATGCATTGATACAAAATGATTATTATTTACACCCCTAATCCTTCCCTTGCCTGTACTTTGCATTGTGTGTTGGGAACAGACTTTTTCTTCCACTGTAACAACGTACATACCAGTAATGTTCCGTACAGTGGTTAAGTGAACGCTCACTAGAAAACAGTCTGTTTATATCTTGTCTGCTTTTTGTTGTTGGTCCTCATATATGACACTTGAAGTTTCTTTGTGTGATATCGTGCTGCTCCTTTGTCTTTGGCTCACCTCTTCAGTCTAATTTGAGTAAAAGTGATGGATTGGGTGTGAGAACTGTTGCGTTGGCTGTATTTGGGAAAGGCACAAATCACTGCGTGTGGAGTTGATTTGATTTCTGCATGAGCTTCCTTGGCTTAGTTTGGTCTTCAAATATCTTTCTGTGGTATTAATGTATTGTTTGTTTTGTTATTTTTTGCGCTCTTGGTCCTAACCGACTTGTGCTGCAGCTCTTTCTTTGAGTGCAAACCGTTTAGTTGAATGTGTGCGCTTGTGCTGCATGGGGCTGCACTGTTTAAATGCTACGTATAAAAACACTGCTTCATAATGTGTGGAGCTTCTTCTTCTCCCTGCAATGTTTTCCAGCTCTACATGATTCCTTTTTAAAATGCAGGTTGAAAAAGAAGCCTCTGTGCAGCCCTGGTTTGGATGTGATACGCAGCATCTTTGCTTGCTTGGTGGTTTAAGGTCATTCTAGCTGCCGCTTGTCAGAAAATATGCATTGAAGCTGTTTGATTTAACATTTTGGTCCTGGACTAAACCCTGGCTATGGCTCTTATTATCCAACCCCCTCCTCCCTTCATTCTGTATCCTCCCCCCCTGTTTTTTCATGTGCACCATCCCTCCCTCCCTGTAGGCCAGTCAGAAGAAAGATCTGATGGCAGCAGCTCAGTTTCGGGGGCGGGTCCAGGTGAGTCCTCTATTTTTGCAGAACGTAAGAGAATAGTTGGACGATTGGAAGCTGCATTATGGACACGTCCTAACTTGGAGGGTGTTTAGAGGTGTGGCAACTCAGCCGAAGCAGGATACAGGCTTTATTCAAGACTTTTGTTGGAAACTCGTTGTTAATGACAGATTCTCTAGTCGTGTCTTTGAAAAGACGGAAATAGATAAGCATGTTGGGGAAAATTTGGTTGAGGTTTTTGTGAAAGGTTGTTTTATCTACCTTTAGCTACGAATCATTGACAGTTTGTTCACTTTTCATTCTAAGCTGCTTTAAACTGATAAAGCAGTTGGATTTTCAATTATTTCTTTAAATATATTGGTCTAAAACGTCCCCCCAATCTGAATTGGACTTGTGTGTAAATTTACCCATTTAACAATAAAACAATTTCTTCTAAATGGATATGACTGAGAATAAATTGAATTAGCTAATCATATTTGCTTTGCCACTACTGACTTTTGAAGCTGGGACGTCTTACAGTCATGAAATATTTAGTTATTTCAGAATTATTCAATTATCTCCTTTTATTTCTGGATCAAAAAGTACTTGCTTGACAAAAATGCTTTGTAACTAACTATTAAACAAAATGTGACTAATATGCATATTATAACCAGCATCTGACAATGCACTAAGAAAGTTTGCCCTATTCCTCACAAATTGTCTAAGAGGTTTTTCTGCACATGCAGGCATTTTAATAGGACCAAGATGTGGATGTTGATCAGGATCGGGGGGTTTTCAGTTATACTCAGCCAGTCCTTTGATTGTTTATTTGTATGTTTGGGTAATAGGGTAGTATCCTGCTGGAGCTAAAGATCTCCACACTAACCATGACACACTCACCTCCATGGCTCACTGTTAATGAGGCTCTATAGCTGGAAGACTGAGGGAAAACGACAGGTGAAAGGAATTACTAATTAGGGAGGAGCAAACAGGCCAGATCATGACATAAATAGCAAGTGAAATAGTGAACATTCGGAGGACATTGATGCTGCTTAGGTAGTACAGGCTTCCCTACACTCAATCATAGACTCGAGCATCCAAAGAATCCCACAGGTCTTTAGAGGTTTATTGCTGTGCTTATGATATAATATACCTTTATATTAATTTGCATTTTCAGTCACAATATTTGATGCCTTTTTCTGATTATAATCTTTTTCCTTTTTTTTTTTTTTTTTTACATTATGTAGAAAAGTGTTTATATATATATATATATAAATATCACTCATCACATTTTTTAAGAGTGTCACATATTCTAAATATATATGTTTCAAATATAGATGTCACAGGGCATCATTATTATTATTTTTTCACAAGTTACTATCACCATTTTCTATTAACTAAAAAAAAACTGACATCAGCCTCTTTCAGTAAAATACAGAATAAAGCATTATATCAGTACTGGTTTGGAAATATCCTTGTAGTAACATTTAGAAAATGGTTATTTTTAATAAAGGTGTGTGAATGAATTGTGGTAGAAGAGTGTTTCTTATATCGTCTCAAAAGCGAAGCAAACGTCCATCCAGTGGCCTTATTTCCATAATAGTTTGCTCAGTGTTATGAATTAGGTGCGTTGGTGAAGGAAGAATTGACAGACAAGCATCCCAGAGATCAGAGCCTCTCTTTTTAAATTTGATCAATCATTTAAACCTTGACAGCACTTATAGCTGCTTAGATTGAGTGGTTGTACTTTCCTGCTGAGCTGAGCAGAGCAGTTTTGGGTACAAGTTGAAAAGAATATCTCTGGTTCTCATTCCCCCTCATCTATGACGTTAACCTGGATTGAAACGTCTTTAAATGCATTTTATCCAATGTTTTTATTAGCTTTTGTATTTTTCAGATAAAATAGCCCTGGAAGGAGTGGTGGTGCAGAGAGCAGAATGCAGACCTGCTGTAAGTGAAAGCTACATGAAATTAAAAAGGTATGTTATTTTTTTTCTTACACACAAGTCAGCGCCGTAGGCTAATCAATTCAGCTAACCATAGCAGTTCAATGTTCCTCATTGTCGGTTTTCTGAATTGTTTATTTAATCATCTGTCACAGGCTGCAAATCGAAGAGTCTTCCAAACCAGCTAGGTTGTCCCAACAGTTGATGAAACCTGTCACAACCAACTACAAACCTGTAGCCAATCATGAAAACAATGTAAGAGACTTATTTTTTACGATAAACTAGAATTAAAAGCAACATTAACATCCATTCTTTGAGGAAAAAAAACAATATTGGGGGCTAAATAATAAATTTTTCTTTTATATGTGTGGATGTTAAGGGTAAAAATCTCGTCACTGAGCTTATTGTTTACTTTGTTGCAGCGTGAACACGAGAGGAGGAAGAAGGAGGAGGGCAAGAGAGCGAGATCTGACAAACAGCAAGTGTTGGACATGTTGTTCTCTGCATTTGAAAAACACCAGTACTACAACATCAAAGACCTGGTGGACATCACCAAACAGCCTGTGGTAAGACTCGAGGGGCCCAGTTTCTATTGGGAAACTATGGAAACGCAGGGCACACACTGAGTCCTGTGTTCACTGAGGTTTCTTTATAACGAAATAAGTGGAACAGCTACAGCAGCTTTATATTTTAATGTTACATATGATTTATTTATTTTTTTCCCCCCACAGACTTACCTGAAGGAAATCTTGCGTGACATTGGCATCTACAACGTAAAGGGAACACACAAGAATACCTGGGAACTCAAGCCAGAGTACAGACATTACCAAGGAGAGGAAAAAACTGATGAATAGTTATTTTTAAAAAATAAATATGTAAACTTGTAAACTTGTAACTCTTGTAATGCCAGAAGTTACTTTGATCAACTTTGAGTTGTTTCTAGAAGACAAACTAAAGGTTTGTGTCCCCGTGTCCTTATTTGGTACCATGCCTGGAGGGCTCACTTTTCAGATTTCTCAGCTGCTTTTGATCACATTTCTACATGTAGATTTTATTTTATTTTTTCTAGTTTGAAGGGGAATAAACTTGTAAATGTGATGTTGAGTGATCAAAACTTCTGATTTTACTGGATTTTAAGTGTTTGAAATAAGACTTCTGTAATAAAGTTTGATTGTTACTCGTTTTAATTTTTGCCTGTGTGATTCATAAACAGCTGATCTTCTGTAAGAAAAAAAAGTGGACTACAGATTGAGCATTTTCAAGCCTTTATATAATCATGGTTTACAGCTGGAAACCCAAAACTTGGGATAAATGTGAAAAAAAGTGAAATACAAACTTGTCAGTCTTCGCAGCTTATTAGCGCAAAACACCTGCACATTTCCTTAGTTCATTAAGGTAAAAATTGATGGCTCTAATGCACTTGTTTCCTCATGGATCAAAATGAATTTCCCTGGAGCTTATCTGCATGAATGCTATGAATTTTCTAGAGGGTAAATTTAATGACTGCTATAATTGGACCTGAGCTCTTACTGAACTTATTTCGCCAGTAGGGTAAAGTCAGGTGGGGAATCCCACTCAGTCTTGGTTACACTTTTAATGTAAGAATCTGACCCAGATTCTTGAATGTTTGATGCTTTATGGAAATAAATACCAGTCAGAACCATCATAAATTAGCTAGGGCAGTGCCTTTGATGGCAGCAGGACCTCGGACCGCGTCCCGCTGTTTTTTCCTTTTTCTTTTACATCTGAAATTGTATCCTAAGTGAAATATCTTCACCCTCTACTGAACAGGCTGTTCTGAAACCTCCCATTTTGGGATCAAGTATTTATGAATTGAATTATTGCACTTGGTTTTCATCTGCTGTCAGGCTCTTATCTAACCGCTGATGTTACTAAAAGTCAAATGTGAGGGAAAACAAAAACTTTTTATAGTTGAAGCAGGATCGTAGCTTAACTCTAAATTCATCTTAATCAAAAGCAGTTTATCACCTCATTTAGAAATGTCTCTTTAAATACTATGGATGATCAAAGGTGAGAATCCATCTAAACAGTATCCTTTTTTCCTAGTTTTGATACCCTCCATTAATTATAGTTTTCAAATGCTTTTCTCTGTGGTTACCCAGCTAGTTGACTGAAAAGTCTGCTTTTGCTGTGATGAGTTGGACCCATCTTGTAAACAAATGGTGAAGAGGTTGAGATGCAATACACTTCGCATCGATTTCAACTTTTGATTTTAAACTTACATTATACTTGAAATGCTTTTCAAAATTCTCAACCAAAATGCCCTTAATACCAGAACTCTTATTGAAAAGACAGTTTGATCTACATTGTGTAAATTTAATTACTTATCAGTTGGCAAAAATAACAAAGGTTTGGAGATGGTTAATTTTGTATCATTTCTGGACAAAAAAAAAAAAAAAGTATAGATGGAGCACAAGTTGGACACTTGAATGATTTATTCTACAATCAATGACACGTTTAACTTTCTAAAGTTAAAAATGAAACTATGACATACCTCCATACCCACCAGATTTAGGCCGTGTCACAAAACATACTATTTAGACATCTCCAGATATTTGTCATATTTAAAAGCATTACTTAAGCAGTCTTTTTAAAATATCCATGTTAAAAATTTGACAACTAAATAGTTTCCACCTTTTATTTTAAGAACCTCAACAATGAAACCAATTGCAGATGTACAGCTCATAAAAAAAAATAAAATCCTGAATGATGAAACAATGAAACTGGCCAATCTTCGGGACGATGAAACCATCTCAAGCCTTGCCAGATGACTGTAGATCAGTCTTCACTTCCTGTAAGGATTTATTTGTTTTAGTACATATGCAGCATAGATAACATTCAATAACAGCCATTGAGATTTAACATATTTGAAACTTGAGGTATATATAAAATGAAGTTTATTCAAGTTGAATGATAACAATAGAGAACTTTCATCATGCCCAGCAGGTTTACCTGTTCTCCTCAATTTAGTCTGACTACTGTTAAACTTAGCAGTCAGAAAGCTCAGTTTAGCATGAGGAAGGCTCAGTTTAGCATCACTTTGCAAACCAGGAAGCCAATGATGCTGCTTCAGGTCTATCAGTGGATGCAAATCAAAATCATTCTACACACAAGCCTGTACTCACCTGCAGTTGTCAGTCGCAAACAATTCATTGGTTCCCTGCCACAACTTTAGTTGGACGTCATCTCGTTGTTACAGTACCTTTTAAGACAAGGAAATTGAAGACTTAGAGCTCACTCTAATAATTTATTCACAGTTTTTTTGTTTTAGTTTGTTCTCCCTTCTTCAATCTGAGACACCACTAAGGGGTGCATAGAAAGCGCAGGGACATTTTTTATAGCATCTGAACAAATTAAACCCAGGATATCCCACAGCAGAGAAACCAGGCTGTCAAAGATGCAATTACAATCCTCAGAATTAATTGCATAAATATCCAAACACACTTACAGAAACGCCTCTTTTTACCCCAGAGATCAGACACTGGACATTCATTTTGGAGACAAATGATGTCCTTGGTTAGTTAGTGTGCTGCCGCAGCATCTTTGATCAGGACAAGGCGATCAGGCCAATGATCATCTAATATCTGGCTCGAGGAGGGACACCATCCAATGAACGAATAGCTGGAGGAAAATAAGAAAAAACGTTACAGTACACACACCTAGAGGGATGGAGGTTGTTTCTGAGAGGATATTTATTAAATTACATTATTAGAATGTAAATGAGCCCATTGTTTCTTAAATCAATGCTGCACCACTTATTTTATAATCATCAAAATGTGCCACCTGGAACTTTTACATACATACCTGAAATGAAGTAATTATGATTATTTATTCGCAGCTGACATATGATATGTTCGTTTAGACACAGAAAAACTCGATCTATGGTTTAGTGCACGTGTCATCCTCGTGTCTGTTCATACCATTCCAGTAAAAACAGGAAACCAAACGAGACAAAAAAAAAACAAAAAACACTGCCATAATCATTAAACGTTTAGATAAACTGGATTCAACCCATTTAAATAAAATGTATTTCATTAAAACCTCAAAGGACCGAAAACATCCGATTAGCTCCAACAACGTGAGACTAGCTACTTTACACGTGCTCACTGCTCGGGAAGAAAATAAAAGTAAACCTTATAGTCAAGAGTTGCCTAATATGTCGGAATAATAGTGCGGTAATACTCACCATATAACATAACAAGTGTAGGTTTAACTCTGTTATACATTGTTAACTTCATCGTAGGTTCTTCTAACAACCAACTAGTGAAAAGAAAGCTAAAATGCTAGCTCGCGGCTTTTATAAGGAGGTTCTGCTGCTCATTGTCGCCCCCTTCCGGCTGAAAGAGAACTACAATGGACATTATCGCCCCCTGGTGTTTACAGAAGGAGATGACGGAAATAATAAGGTCTAAATAACTCACGTCAAATAGTTCAGAAACGATCTTTAGTTGTCTTGATGTTTTACACATTTATTGGATTGTTTCAATTAATTCGTAGTACATCATGATAGATTTGTTACGTTGTTACATCTGTAGATTATCGTAGTGTGTAGTGTTAAAAAAACAACAAAAAAACAACGGTGATATAAATAGTTGTCCATTGATGATGAAATCAAGCCCTTTAAGTGAAAACATAAAAGGCTGGTAAAAAAAAAGAAAAAAAAAATGCTTAAACCAAATTTAGATCGCAAGGCACACTTTCTCGCGCATGAGACGCGCTCCCGCCTCCCTTGATGATTTTGGGAGCGCGCGTCACATAAAGCTTAATTGGACTCCACCAGCCAGAGAAAGTGATCTCTCTGCAGCTTCCAGTGGATTTGTGTGAAGGCATGCTGGCACCCAAGACGATTTAAAAAAGAAAAAAAAAAGGTAACCACTGATTTAATTGTAGAAGCGCACCATTTGTTTTTAATAATCGTTGTTCTGTTTTCCTCACCTTTATGAGCGAAAAGAACCTTATAAAACACAACAACGGTCTTAAAATAGTCCTTCGAGAGCAACTGAACGTCGGACTGGAAGATTTGTTTGAAATAATTAGCTCAAATTTATTTATTTATTTTTTATTATTATTATTTTTCTTTCCAAGGCGGTACAGACCAGAGAAGGAGCCCAGTTATGTTCAGAGCTGTGTTCGGAAATAAGAAAGAAGGAGGCAAAAAAGGAGACAAAAAGACCCAGAAAAATGCAGGTAAGAATATAACTACTAATATAATAAAAGTTAAAGAGACACTTATTATGTCTACTATTATGTTGGTATTTTACAGTCTATTTATTCTGAATTATTTCCATGCCTTCTCTATAGAAATAATGAAAACACTTTATTCAGATAATGTTCAGATTCTCTTCTCCAGGGTGAGGCAAATGGAGCCATTTCAATTAGCCCAATTCATCAGTGGGTTCCAGTCCTTCACAGTGTCCCGCTGCTTTTATTTTTAAGTGTGTCAGTCAAAGTTGGACAGATCAAACATCATGACCTACTAAACAAGATTCAAAGGAACCAGTGGAATATATAGAAAGGAGAAGAAATTCACCTGCAGATTTGCAAACATGCAGCAGAGAATGGATGCAGTGCTGAACTGTCAGTGAATTAACAGCTTGGATATTTGGCAAGCTCTTGAAGCCCTATGTATTTTTCAGAGGGTGAGCTTGTCAACTTGCAGCAGTACAGAGGAGATTTCAGCTTGCACAGTGAAGCTACATAAACATAAGTAGAGCTCAGTATTAGAGCAAGCATGTTGCTTATTAATATTTAATAACGCACTGCACTGGGAAGCAAAGAACAGAGAGGAGGACATAGAACTGTGTCAGTCCCATTAAAATCAAATAGTGCGTTCACAGTACACCAACATCATTTCATCTGCTTTTAATGGTCTTGTAGATTTACAGTAGGTTATTTATAGCATTTCTCTCCAGTTTGCACTTCATAATAACAGTATTATCAGAGGTTGATGTTCTACTCGTACACCGTCATTCTAATATTTTATTTCTGGATTGCAATAAGTATTCAGTTTGTTGCAGGATGTCTTTTTGGAGATTCAGACCCACTTTTAAAAGCTTGGTTGGAATAAACAGGCAAACTGATATATAGGCAGTGGCGGTTGTAGACTAAACCTATCGTGGGGTGGGGTTGGGGGGGTGGGGGGAAAGAGAGGGGGTGCTAGGGATTTTTAATGGGAGCACAGAACAGAAGAATAACAAACACACAAAATAGTGAACCATAAAGCCAAGGTTAGAGACTCTTGATCTAATAGATTCAAACTGAAGTTATTTTAATACAGCTGAAGTGCATATTTGACTGTAATTTCTAAATAATAATTGAAGTAAATTGTAAAGATGAAATGTTAAATTGGTCCGAGGGATGAATCAGTCATAGTTTTGTCTGTCAGTGTATATCATCATAAGAAATTGATTTAGTGTTAAACAGTACACATTAATCTAATGATAGCAAAAATGTCTTAAAGTTTGTGCATTTTCCTTTAATTTGAGCAGGCAAATAAGATGATCTGCCAAAGGAATAAGAATTTTTGCTCTTCAAATAAAATTATGAGATTTTAGACACTTAAAAACAGGGAAAATGGTAATAGTCTTTAGTTTTATGTCACATGGACTATTGCTCCATTATCTGGTCAAAAGCTGGTCAGAAAGACCTAAGCAGACTCCAGATAGGTCAGAATCGGGCTGTAAGACTTGTTCTGGGATGTGCATTTCGAACCGATGTTGCTGTCTTGCATCAGAGACTTTTGTGGATGAAAGTCAAAGATAGATTGAGTTGTTTGTTCTTTGGTGTCTCTGCATAAAATCTGGACTTCACACAAACCTGTCAGCCTGTTCTCTAAACTAGAGCCTACTTACAGCAGACGCAGGCTTAATACAAGACCAGCTGTTACTCTGACTTTACCTCTGCCTCTTCCAAGAACTAATAGATTAAAAAAAACACACATTTATTTACCGGGCCATCTCTCTGTGGAATATGTTGCCAAAGAATATGAGATTTATACAAAATTATGTCTCATTTCAGTTAAATCTTATGAAATCTGTAATCAATGAGGAAATCCTGTTTGTTTAACTAGGGAAACATAATCTATGTTTTTGCTTTTCTTTGTTTGTTTTGATTGTTTTTTTTTTTTTATTATGTTGTTTCTATTGTGAGTTTTTTTGTATGTACTGATTGTGATGATTTTTGTTGAAAAGGGACCCCAGGAAGAGTAATCTTTACACTCATAGAGACTAATGGGGATCCTTAAATAAATAAATAAATAAGATAATGAATTTGTTTTTTTCTCATTTTAAACATAAATCATTATTCTATCTGCAAATTGCCTTACCTCCTTAAATTACGGGAAACAATGACTTGCCTCAATTTAAATGTTTGCACTAGGGCCCATAATAGGAGACTAGGATCAGTTTTATAGGGGCAGTGGCCCCTGATGGCCCCTGTCTAGAACCACCCATGATGTGAAGCATATGGCCTACTACATTAGAGGTTGCCAACTTAAACTCACGCTGCATCCCTGAGGTGATATATGTCCTGCTTCCTGGTTGTGTTTAATAAACAGTTTTTCATGTCTATTCCTTAAAGGTGTTGAGGTTAACATGCCCGGCATCCAGCCAAGAGGCAGCGGCCAGCGTGCCACGCACCACCACGCTCACAACGCAAGCCAACTAAATCGGAAGAGACTGACTAGAGTCGTGTCTATTTCTCTACCTTCCTCTCCGCTTCTCCCTCGCCAGGCCGACATAGTCTCCTCCCAGTCATGCGTCAAGTTCCCAGGTGGGTTACCTTGAAATAATCAACACGCAGTGATGTCTCAGTGACATGGAGCTTTGTGTGAGGGATTAGCTGCAGAGGGAGCAAGATGCTCTTGCATGGCTTTGCTTCGATTAGCAGAGCTTCTGTGCATTCAGTTGTTCCATACATGTGACAGTGAACACAGACGGTGTCCTCAGGGCCCCCCCTAAAAACAAAAGACAGATTGTCAGAGTTAATAATTCAGGGAAACAACTGAAGGCAATGTCCCTCATTTAGGTTGTTCAATGTCAGGATCTCTTTATTATTTAGGATCTATACACCAAATAAACTGGGAATTCATGAATAAAGAGAAAGTATACAATACAGTTTTTTCGATATTTTGTTAACGAGGTTTATGTAATGCCTGATATAGTCTTTAATACTTCATAACGAATAGAACTGAAACAGGGCCAATGAACTTTCAGTCATTTCTCTTTATTGCTCTAGGGGATGAAAAGATAATGAAAAAGAGTGATGCAGCTCATTTAAAGATTTTTTTTCTCTTATAAAAATAGGGCTGACTGGAACGATCAATCAGATTAATTGGGATTATTAACATTTTATTAAATTTATTGGGTATTTGTATAGAATAATTGAGTGGAGTCTACAGACTCTACAGCCTTTTGTTGACAGAATAATTTACTGAAAGGAGTTATTACACCAACACTGTACTTTGAGATTAGAAACATTCCCTGTCTGTAAGCATGTTATAAGTAGGGGTGGACCGATCGGTCAGCCGGCCGATTTATTAGCCTCGATTTCTTTCCTTTTGGGAAATCTTTGATCAGCTGATACTTAAAAGTGAAACCGATCTTTTCCATAGATCTCCCCTCTCAATGCAAAAGTTTGAAAACCGTTGCTATAAACTTTGATTTATATTTGAGAGCAGTAATTTCCGAAGTTTTTATGATTCCATGGGTACCGGTTAATGCCTTTCAGTACGATAAGTTTGAACTATTTATTTTTATTTTTTTATCTTTTACAGCTAACAGTGTCAGTTATTAAACAAAATCTATATCTATTAAATCGGTATCGACATGTCAGGCTTTTTAAAAATCGAGAATTGGTGATAGACCAGAAATCTGCAATCTTGTTCAGCTGTAGGAAAAATCTCCTATTAAGCACTGTTTGGTATCTGATTATTAATTAGTTTTTTTAAAAACTAGTCGACAAATCGATCAATTAGCAATTTATTTCAATTTATTTTTCGGCCTCTTTTACCTTGTTTTTTAATGGCAAGGTTCCAAGCATTGAATCGAGTTGTTTTACATGTTTTCACTATTATCACCTTCTATTAAGTGTACAAAAAAATGTTAAGAAACTATTTTTTTCCTAAGTTCTAAGTATTTTTTTTTGTTTGAAGATAAAATTATTTTTAATTTAGATGAACCAGTGAATTTTAAAATAATCAATTAAAACCTGCAGCAATGCTGTTTTATGAAAAGAAGATATATATTTAATTGTACAGATATTTATCAGAACTAAACCTATTAGCTGTTTGCGATTTTTGGAAACTTTGCTTTTAATATA